GATAATAATATGAACCCATAATATAAAGAAAAAAGAGAAGACCCCACATTACCCAAATAAGAGAGAGAGCCAAACACACACAGACAATACCCCATGGCTCTAGTTTATATATTAAATTACTGCACACACACACATCTGTGTGTACTAGCAAGAAATGTATACCGTCAGTGAGCAGAACAGCCCAGTTTTCTGCAAACACACAACGGAAAAGCAAGTAATGGAATTATTAGAAAAAGAACACACACACACACAAAAGTAAAAAGAAAAGATATTCCAATTAAAAGAGAATGCTGATAAACAGATTATTAGTTTATTCACCCATGGGGGATGTACGCAATCATGATTATGTTAGGATAACCATTATTATTATTTGTCCTCAGATGAGTCCCACCGTTCAGTACATGGTAACGGAGAACAACACAACCACAATAAGCAGAGGTGCTGCAGTGCGCATCCACACAGGACTGACACTGCTGCTGTCAGCATTAGCCTTGCTCTGCACTGCGGAGGCAATAGAGGTAATCTCTGCGTTGGGAGCAGTAGATGGAGTGGTGGTTGGTGCTTCAGTGACAGTGTTTTCGGAGCTCGGCAGAGTAGTGGAATTGGTTTCTTGTGAGCCTGATGCGGCAGTGGTGCCCATGTCTGCGCCAGAAGCATTGGTTCCTGTAGTTTCGTTATTGGATGGTGTCGAGGTTGTGCTGTTATCTTCTGGAGCAGTAGTGGAAGAAGGAAGTTGTGCGGATGTACTTGATGCTTCCGGCGCACGTTCTGCATTCCCACCAGATTGGGGTTCAGTCCCCAGAGCTTTGTGTGGGCCTTCATCCTTCGCAGTTGATTGTTCTTGACGACTTACTTGATCCACTGCAGCCCCTTGCGGTTGATTCCCCTGCTTCCCATCTTGCTTTCCTACATGCAATGAAGAAGCAACTTCCTGTGGCTCTTCTGGATCTTTCTGGCCTTGTAGATTATTCACCTGTTGTTGTACCTCACTCTTTGAGTTTGATCCATCGGAACGTTCCGATATTCCCTCAATAAACCCCCGAGATTTCCAATCCGAACAATTTACTCCACCAGCAGTTTTATTACTTCCACTTAATGTAGAATTACAGGCTGCTGTTCCAAGAAAATCACTCCATTCCTTAACACCAGCATCATTAGCCATCACCGCCTTTGGTTGTCCACCATTAGTAGTAGTAGTAGTAGTAATTGTTGTTCTTG